TTTTTTATTTTTTCTATATAATGCTGTTATTATCATTCATTACAGAAAATAATGCATAAGGAATCAAGGTACAAGTGTCCATATTGTTCTCGAAATTATCTCGAGAAAAAACGTCTTCAAAACCATGTCTCCAAATGTGTGGATAATACAGTTCCCTGTGACTTGTGCGGTCTAATGTTTAAAAATCGAACCACAGCTAATGAACATAAGAAAAGATTTTGCCGTGTTACTAAAGCATCGAAAAAAAATCAGAATGATAGTTTCAGTGAGCAGGAACATTCCGAGACGATTGACTCTGACCTTTCGGCGAAAGATTACAGCGAGCAGAAATCCAACTTGCATCAAGAAAAGACATCAGATATACAAGAAGAAACTGATTCATCCAACGTCATAGAGAAAATGTTGCGACCTCTAGTTGAAACTGGATTATCCGGAACAAACTGTTCCTATTGTGGCAAAGAGTTCTCCAATATTGAATCTTTATACTTTCACATAACAAGTGTCCATGAGGTGACCAAATGTGATATCTGTGGAATTACTTTCACTAATACGTCCCGGGCCAAGTATCATAAGGTTTGTAAACTAGACTTTGCGTATTTTCAACTGTCTCCATGTGATATTCTTCATCTTCTATTACAGTCTCTCGTACATAACTCGAAGTACAAATGTCCACATTGTTCGATGAAATTTTTCCGAAAATATCGTCTTCAAAGGCATGTATTCAGATGTGTGGATTTGAAAATTTCCTGTGAGAGGTGTGGTCGAAAATTTAAAGATTTAAACGCTGTCAATGATCATAAGAAACGAGTTTGTCTTGCTGATAAAGCTTTGAATGAAGTACAGAATGACTGCAAAAATGCCAGTAAAGAGCAAGGGCAGAAAAAGGCCGATGCATTTCAACTCACCTGTCCACAGCAGTACCCAAACAAACACGATAATTCTCAGTTCGGTGAGGAAATTTCATTGCTTCAAGATGAAAATTCACCTAGTGGATCATGCATGACTGGTGAGTATATTGGAATCAAAATGGAAATCCAAGTAGAGGACACAGCAATTCAGGAACAGGAATCCCAAGTACCAAATGATGGCCGAGGGAAATCATCCAGCAGAACTTCGACCAGTGTTAGTCAGTTTGAGATTTGCAAGGTTTGTTTAGTTTGATTATCTATATACTGTCCATAAAGCCGATCAAGGATCTGTAAAGCTAAATCTAAAGGTTTATCTATTAGAACCACTCTGCGCAATTGCACTATTTCTGATCCGGCTATGGATTGAAATGCAAGGTCTTTGGAAAATATTAACCGTTAATCTATTTTCCATTTCACAGCATCCGCAAGGAAGCATCTCAAAAACCGTTGCATCTGAGGATACAGATTATAAAAATGGAATTAGCATCAAAGAGGAACGCCCTGAAGAAGAAGAGACCTTAATCGTATCGCTGAGTACAACGGAACCTTTCTAATGTCATGAAGATGCATAGAATCTTCTAGTTTGTTTTATCCATTGCAAGTAATATTTCGAGATTTGTGAACGTTTTGAGATTAGGGAGACGCAACTGGAGTTGCCAGCGATCGAAGCTTGTGGCGCTGATGATTATGAGAAGGCTCACGGTAATAAGCTAAATTGAATGCTATCTGAAATGATAATACGAACGAATAACATCACCTCGTATCAAGTGTCGACTACTATGCTAAAACATGATCCACAATCATCGCTTCCTCCGAAATCAAATGGTTGTCAAAAATAACGTCCTCTAAGTTGTGCTTTATTCAAAAGGCAACAGAGAAGAAACACGTTTCGGATCAAAGAGGACGTTGGTAATAAAGCCAAATTGATTTGATAAGAAGCAGTTTTTATTGCACAATATGCTTCAAATCGCGAGTCGTGGTTCTACAATCAATATGTCTTTTGGGTTATTATGCGTTTCTGTTTATATATGATTAGAAAATCTTGTACCAACAGCCTGCATTTTTCTTTTGCAATATGATACATCAATATTTCTTTGGTGTTATTTAATTAATTAATATACAGTCTTCTACAATTTCAAACATTTCATTCAATCAAAAATCTTCATTCTGTTTGTACGTATTGTGAAAATCCTTCTAGAAGTATCAATTTATCTCAAGAATTGAATTTCGCTCGTGGGCTAAGTTTTAGTTGGGCTAACGTTGGGTTGTAGCCGAGGGGCACGCAATACAATGAACCGGTGCGTTGAAGTTGTACTTTGACCCAGGGGTACCCGGACGAGCAGCATCAACACGCGAGCTTCGCAGCTTGTTTTTTGGATACGAAATTGTAATTGTAATTGTAATTTATTATCGTAACGTTAGCCTGTCGGTTACACCATTGCTCAGGTCAAGGAAAACAACAACAAATAATTATTGATTTATATCAACCCGACGCTGTAAGGTAAGTAAGTAAGGATCGTAGTAGTCCGGAGTAATATTTGTCACAGACTTACGCAGAACACATTATTTTGGCCTTGCAAGATGATGCCAGTAACGCGCTCTCAAAGAATTGTAAACACACCAAATCGTAAAAATTTAATTATTATTTCATACAATTTGCTTTTCTTTATTTTCAGATGCGGCTGTTAGTAGGGGAACGGGAGCACCCGGAGCAGGAGCATTCCGACCAGGAGCACTCTGACCATTCGTCAGGAGAGCCGGTTGCAGGACCCAGTAGGAAGAGGATGCGCCGCGTTTCTCCGGTTTCCGTTTACAGCACGCAGGATCCCTTGGCGAAGGTTCCGGCGGAGTTCAGCACTCTGGAACGGAGGGTCGGTGTTGGTGCGCTCCTTGGCACCAAGACGGTGAATTCTCCTCGTCAAGGCGGAAAACAAGCAGAATCGAGTCAGTTGGTCCAGCGAATGCGGTTTCGAAAGCGCACGCTGATTTTCTGCGACATTAGATATTTGCATTTGACCTTTATACCCCAGACAGACTACATCTAGTTTTCACTGGAAATCCTATATATGAGTGCTCATTGCAAGACAGCCTATATTACATGATATAAGCCATAGTCTGTACGGGGTATTAGAGTCCGTTTATTCGTTGTTAGTATAAAAACTGATGCTCTTTTTAAGCTAAATGTCGCCGCGAAAAGCTACTTTCTTCTCCGGTTAGAGAGAGTCTTTCGCTTACTAGGTCAGACACTGTTTCTCGATTCTAGGAGCTACTTTTTTCTCCGGTTAAGGAGAGAAGTTTTCACTTCCAAGTCAAGAGTTCTTCTAGGAGCTACTTTTTTCTCCGGTTAATGAGAGAAGTTTTCACTTCTAGGCCGAAAGTTCTTTCGGATTCAAAAAGAGAAGAATCTGGAGTAACCTACGAAACTTCATTTTACTCAACCAAATTGTACAAAGTGATCTTACGGCTACGTGTTGCATTAGCAACTTATAATTATGTAAAACTTTTACATGATTTGTCCAGGGTTTAACATATCCCTTTCAATGCCGAACTTTAACCTAATTTGCCTATTCTAATTAGCTAGGATTCCGATCGCCCTTGAAAGGGTAAATTTGTGTTGTTTAGACCTTATATACTATGCCCTCTCAGATCTGGGATTTCTCAGATATCTTGTAAGTTTATTTATTTTTGTAACTCAGATCTGATATGGCTCTACAAATAAGAATGAGACATTTGTAACGTTTAAACATTATAATTATATCCTTCGTTAAGGATAAACAGAGAGGGAAAGCTAAAAGTAACCTAGATGCGCAAGCATGCCATGCGTGGGCGTGTTTATCCCACTTGAACGCAGAAACGTTCCTAAGTAAATACTGCAGTTAGATTATGTAAAACGAGCTCTCGCTCCTTTAGCCCTACTTTTCATTTCATAATCTTGGCCTTGGTATCAACGTCAGCTAGGGCTATGCAAACGAGAAGCAACTATGTGGTTATCTTATGGTTTTGGTTTTAAATTAATTGCCTCACGGTAACACTAAACATTGTTTATTTACAGGTTATTCGAAAAAGTATTAAATTTCAATCTAACTGCCCTAATAAACGGATACCATAAACTAACGATATCATAGATGGTACGACCATACCACATAAAGTTGGAATGATATCCTTAATTGGTGGTTAGGCGCTTCTTATGGTTATTGTTTATGCGGGTGTGTTTACTATTATTTTTGAGTGTACTTTGCCACGAAATGGGCACTTTTTCACCCATTAATGGGTATTTTCCAGTTAAAGGCCTGTATAGAGATCGAAGCGAAGCGAAAATCTCATACAAAATACTACATTTTTCACCTGCGTGAAAAACGTAATTGGCAAATATTCCGCTTCGCTTTGAACTGTAAACAGCGAAATCTTATTTTGTGGATCGTATCTTTTTCGCTTACGTTCATTTTTTTTCGTGCATGCAGCGCTAGCGAAAAGAGCAGCAGGTAAGCGAAAAGTTGACGTTTCGAGAAAGACCGTATCTGTCAGATTGTCACTTCACCGGAGGTGTAAACTGACCGATTTCGTTTCACACTGCGAAAAAAGGAAACTGGAAAATGTTCCACAAACATTTTTTCACAACCTTTTTCGCTAGCGAAATTTCATGATTTTTCGCGTGCTTCAATTTTCGTTTCGCTTCGATCTGTATACTAAGCTTTACAGTGCATGCACTGAAATAAGGACCATACACTGATAAAAATAGTGTAGTACCACATACCATAGAAACGTGTTTAATTATACCACGCCAGTTCATAGTAAAATCTATCAAAATTTATTTCAAAACGACTATGATTTCAACAAAATTACTATGCTCCCCTTAAAATTGAGCATAGTACCATTAATAACATTCATGGTTAAAATAATAACTTCAAATTTACCATGTTGCCATCTGTATATAGTAATATCAACAGAAATAATCTTCAATGGAAAAATAAAGTGATTACTATTTCATAGCGAACCATGGTAACTGCAGATTCTTGCATAACCACCATTTTGAAAAAAGAGCAGTTGACAAGTGCACATCAGTGGAAGCTGTTGTTTTTTAAGTTGGAGATAATGGCAGACGAAAAAGTGGAAATAATTATTGACGATATGATTGCTGATGTGGAGCTCATCAACGGTAAGAATACATAAATATAAACATAGCGTATTATAAATTCAATGGATGTTTATTTTGGGCTTAGAGGCAGATGAAATACCGGAGCTCCGGAATCTTTTGGTAGAGGATTGGAATCTGGATCCCACTGTTTATGCCATCCTAATTAGTAAGTTGAAACAATTATTCGATTGACTATTTATAACATGCACAATTGCAGACCACGGAATAACCTTGTCGTATTTGAAAGACCTTGACGAAAAGGCATTGAACGATGTGTTTTCGGTAATAAAATGGACCGGACACAAACATTCGCTACGTTCTAAGCTGGAACATTGGGATGAAAGCGTCTTATTTCGACCACCTTCCATCAACCAGCTGAACGAACCAACTCCTTCGAGTTCTCAACAGGAAAACGTCTACAATACTCAGCCAGGACCTTTCAAACGCAAATTGCTCCCTACAGCTGTGACAAACAATTTGTTTCTCGACATATTGCAGACAAACGAAAAGAGAAAAATAGTCACCCAACACTACATAGCTAATCACAGGCTAGATGTTGAGCACAAGCGCTTTTTGGCCCATACTGTAGTCGACTACTATATTGCCAACGATAATTACTTCAACCTTGCTGACATGGAACGTTTCGCACAATTGATTGCTGCGCGATTCCCACCTGAAATAGCTGTAATTTTTCAACATAAACAGCACGGTTATACATATTCTAATATTTCGGTTATTTCAGGAAACCTACTACAACCCGCGTGACTTCACAGCCAATAAGATGCACCCTTCAGGACTATTATACGACATATTCCACAACAGAAACAAAAAATCACTCATAAGCCGGCGAGCAACAATTATTGATCACTGGAAAGAGTGTAAGGCAAAGGTATCCAATCTTTCATCAGACGGTGAGTTGCTAAGCTAGATATGAAATATCGTTTTATTAAAACAATTCCCAAATTGATTAATTCCAATTTGCTATAATTATCACGCATCGCGCGTGACGTCCACTCTAGCTGCACCCTAATTGAGGGTATTTTTTTATATCTGGGATGTTCATTAAAAACAAAATAAACATTTCAAAAGGTCCTATCTGCATTGATCAATTCTCTTCATCGACTTTCTCTTTCGTCAATAACTCAGCTGCAAAACCTTTCCCTGTTGTATTTGACGTTTTGGACGCTAGATAAGAACCTCCTTTATCAAAATATGTGGTAGAATTAGTGCAAAATCTGTTTGCATAACAGTGGTTATGAAAAGAGAAAGTTGATGAAGAGAATCGATCAAAGCAGATAGGACCATTTGAAATGTTCATCGAGATACTATCAACATTGACGTTTGAGAGCAGAGTGTAATGTAATCAGTGAAACATTGACGAGTGCACGGATGGATTTGAGTTCACTCACTCGACAAAAAGTGACACAACAGCGGGGCCCCCCTAATAAAAATTGTATGGTTAATTTGCTTAACGACGTGTTCTGGGTATCATCCAAACCATTTGTGTAATAGTTCAATGATTTGGGTTATCGTTCGTTTATGGTTATTTTTTATTAGGGCCTGTTTACTAAAAATGAACATATATGTGTTCATTTTTAGTAAACAGGGCCCCGCTGTTGTGTCACTTTTTGTCGAGTGAGTGAACTCAAATCCATCCGTGCACTCGTCAATTGTTTTATTTATACAGAAATTGAGCGATTATCATCAGACAAAAACTGGCTAAGAAATAATCTTGATCCGTTTGACGAAATTCAACAACGGTGGAAACAGTCTACTTTGATTCGCTTGAAAAGCATACTGCATGAAACGGACGTTAACAAGTCAAATATTCTTAATGAGTGGCCACGGGTTGCAGGCCGAAACGGTTATTTACTGGTAAATTTAGAAGCAAATTTAATTGGAAATTTTAATAACAAAAAGTTTAACAAAATGTTTAAAACTTCTTTATTTTGGTTTTCAGATAGATACTGATTTTGAATACATTTATGGAAAGACGAGCAACTCCAACAAGCTTTACGATACCTGGGATCTCTTTCTTGTAGTGTTTCGAAAGTATATTAACATATGCAATCTAAGAGATCATTATTCTCTTCAGCTGCTGGAGTACCTGGCCAGGGATTCTCTTGCTGACGGTAAGAGGACTCTATCTTATTTGTTAGCAAAATTAACTTCATGTTATTTGAAACATATGACCACAGACAAACAGACGTAACTCTTTGAAAAAGTTTTTCTTGAAAACATAGTATCTCAAAACATAGGACCTCAGTAACGACATCTCTCGGGCTTCTCGCGGAAAACAAGCTTGCTCGCTAACTCGCAAACAATATTGCATAAAAGTTCTATAGAATGTATAGAAATGTCAAAGTGATCCGATGCCAGCGCAGCGGCGAGTAGTTCGCGGAACTGATAATATTCAAATCAGTCGTTAAATGCGTGAATGAAGATACACAATGAAGAGTTACGTCTGCTTGTCTGTGATATGACAGAGAGTAACGTGCAATTCCCCAATATCCGGCCCAAAATTTACCCCAAAATAAACGTACTGATGTATAGTTTTTTTTTTTTTATTTCATTGTTGCTATTTTTTGGAAGAAACTTGCAATATACATATAGGGAAAACAGTCCTATTGTTGCGGTACGTTAGCAGCGTTAGAAGCCTATTGTTGTGTATAAAGGTCTCCATACACAACAATAGGCTTCTAACGCTGTTTCTCTCGAGGTTTCCCCTATACATCGATTTTATTTTCGTTCGTCGAAAAAAATTTCACTCTAAGAAACTTTTTTCAGATACCCGGAACTTCATCTACTGTAATTCATGCTGTGGCAACCCTAATGAAATTGGTATGGTTATTTTTCTTAACGACGTGTTTAGGGTATCATCCAAACCATTTGTGAAATAGTTCGACCATTTGGGTTATCGTTCGAGTATAGTTTTTTTTTATTAGGGAAAGCCGACACGAACATCATCCTCCATCCATTACCAAAAATGGGTAAACTGTGTTGTGAGCGAGGGGGACGACTCTATCTACGATGCAGAAAATATTGTGCTATGCTGTGGCTAGATGCGCGCACGCTGAGTAGATAGAAAGAAGATTGATGACGATTCTGAAGATTTCCTGCAAAAAGATGATGCTCGATGCAAGTAGATGCAACAAATGAAAGAAAAATTTTCGAAGATTGATTCGCTAGTGTGAGATTTGTTGAGCATCTTAACTTGAGATTTAGATGTGTCGCCCCCCTCGGTTGTGAGTGACAAATTGATAAATGAACAACGTCGATCGGATTCATGTCAATGTTGTTCATTTGTCAACTTGTCACTCCCAACACAGTTTACCCATTTTTCGGTAGGTTCAGTTTTGACCGATCTGGGTTGATTGTACCCAAATTTGGGTAGTTTTGAAATAGCGTGTAACGTTAAATAAAGGAAAAAAAAATCGTCGAGATTCTCGAGATTCACCAGTTTCACGCAAAACGGTAAACAGAAAATAATCACATCTCTTGTTTACGTTTTGACACCAGTCGATATTTAGCGTTTTTTCAAAAATCAGATCGTTTTCCTGAACGAAAATGCTAACGAAAATTGCAATTCTTGAGCCACTGAAAGCGCCGAAGTTGCTGTTCTTCTAGAGCAAGCGGCTGGTAACAACCGGAACTCTGAACAGCTTGTAGGTTGCATCTTTTGCATACACGGAACAGCCAGCCACGGAACATTTAGAAGGCACGAATAATTTGATACATTTTTTTTCACAACAGTGGTTATTGAAAAATCAACCAAGCCCGAAACGAAATGAACGTAAATAATATTACAACAACAAATTCTACGCATCCTTGACGGTCTAAGTTCGTGTGTATAAAATGATATAGGGTAGTAATCGCGAGGTTTGGCTTGAAGAACTTTATACAGCTGGTAGCGGTAGATTACAATAATTATGTACGGTTTATTCGCATTCAATTCAATTCAATTTATTCTATAGCGGTACAACGGTAAAATCAAACCAGTTAGCGATTCCAGCCAAAATGGTCGGATGTGGAATCTGTCTTGCGGAGTACCAGGAGGAAGAGGTGGAACTGCATCAAAAGATGTGCGTAGTACGCTTGGTGTTCCGGTGCACTCTTTGCGATGAGGATTACATGAACAAAGAAGGGCTGTGGAATCATATGGACTTACATGAGGTAAGAAGTGATCAATGATTCATCTGTCATTGGTGATCTATACCGAAATGGTGTTTGTGTCAAAAGATTGCAGATGAAAGTAAAGAATCGCACTATCAGGAGATCAAAGCAAATCAAAAGTTGCACCAATGCGCACTGTGCAACGACCAACGTGCGTATTTGGAGAGTCACTACCGGGAGCACATTCAAGTAAGTGGTGGATTGTAACACAAATAAAATAGCAAAATAATCGGTTCCCATTACAGAACGTTCACGATGGCTTCATCTTGCGGTGTTCTGAGTGTGGGGAAAACTTTCAATCTGAAAAGCTTATGAATGATCATACCCAAAGTCACTGTAAACTAAAGGATCAAACGGTCACATCGGAATCTAGCGACCATGAAGCGGATCAAAAGCTCAGCAGTATAAAATGTGCTATTAATGTTGAAAAATTGACTTCTGATGCTGTACAGTTGAAACATTCACGAGGAGAATCAAATGAAGAAATTGATTCACCATTGCCTTGTGATGATTCTGGCGATTATTCGCTTAGTAATATGAATGCTGATATTGATACGGCTAATAGTATCATCGAGACGAAAATCGACGTACTTCCTGTTGTTACGGCTGATAGGACTGTTCGATCATTCGCTTGTGATATTTGTGGAATTACATTTCCCACATATTCCAAAGCATATTATCATAAGGTACGTAGGTCAACATTCTTCCATCATTATTTTATGTGTAATACGTTCTCTTATCTCACATAACAGAGGAAAAAACACAAGCATATGAAACGAGATCATCGTGCTAGAAGATCTTTAAGAAATAAGAAAAATGGTCCAACTGCCAATAATACGGAGAACATTGATCTCAAAATGGAAATAACAGTAGAGGAAACAACTTTAATGCCTCTTGATGGCTGTGGAAGATCAATGGCGCCAAGTTCATCCACCGAAACTGGGAGGAATGGTGCAGTTATTTTGACAGACAGGGGTGACCCAGATGTGGCGACTGAGAAGCCTTCGGGTGATGATATATCCTGTAACAAATGTTCCTACTGTGGAAAAATGCTGTCCAGTGCTGTTACTTTATCTCGTCACATCCTAAACAGCCATGTACCAGTCGCATGCGATATTTGCGGAACTACTTTGCCTAGTCGTTGCGCGATCAGGTCTCATAAGGTTTGTTTGCTGAATTTTTATCCTTTTCATCTAATACTATAAATAGTATCGTCAACACAGAATGTGGAGCACAAGCAATCTAGGTTCAAATGTCCACATTGTTCGAAGTGATTTCTCGCGAAAGCACTTAAACATCATGTCTCCAGATGTAAGGATTGGAAATTTTCCTGTGAGTTTTGTGGGCAAATGTTCAAAACTTGCACCTCTGTCAATTACCATTGGAATCTAATTTGCCATGTTAATAAAGCCTTGAAGAAAGTTCAGAATTCCAGAGAGGAGCTAGGGCAAAATAGTGTCGATACGGTCTCTTCTAATCTTTTGACGAAAGATAATAATGAGCAAAATTTCAGCTTATCTCAAGACAAGACATCAAATGATATGCACAATAGAACTAATTCTTCCAACATAATAGAAAAAGTTCCGAGCCTCTTTTAAAAGTGGATTGTTTCAAACAAAGTGTACCTATTGTGGCAAAGAGTTTTCCAACCCGATATCCTTACGGTATCACTTGAGATATTTATTAACATGAGAAAATCAAATGCAAGGTCTGCGGAGTATCTTTTATTGGGTTGGCAATACACAATTATCATAA